ATATATATATATATATATATATATATATATATATACACACACACACACACACACATATATATTATATATATTAATATTATATCTGTTAATTGGGAGGCAGTGTAGTGTATTGGGGAAAGAGAATGCCTAGAATCCAGTCCTCATTGTTTGCATTTTTATTATTGATTTTAGGGCAAATTCATTTCTCGTCTATATTAGAAGTACAGATGTAAGCCAGGTGTTAATAGCAATCATGCTTTTAGTCCCAGCACTCAGGAGGCAGAGGCAGGAGGGATCTTTGTAAGTTTGAGGCCAGCCTGGTCTACAAAGTGAGTTCCAGTACAGCCTCCAAAGCTATACAGAGAAACCCTTTCTCGGAAGAAAAAAAAAAAAGGACAAATGTATATGTTTAAGTGTAAGTATGTGTGCGTAGGGAGAAGGTCAATGCCTGAAATACAGCAGATTTCTTACAAGATTATTTATACAGTTACTATTATTTGACATCATTGAAGTGGATCACTTCCTTTCCAACTCTCCTCCTCCCTCGCTAAAAAATAACTGGGACTGCTCATTTTTATTTCTCTCTTTTTTGGGGCGGGGGTAATCTCATGTAGCCTAGGCTAGTCTTAAACTTGCTCTATAGTAGAAAATGACCTTGAACTCCTGATCTTCCTGTTGCTGCCTCTTAAATCCTAGGATTATAGGTATGAACCACTGTTCTTGGCTTCTCATCCTTCCAAAAACAAAGTATCCCACAAGAGCACAAGAGTATGGTACCTGATAACAAGGGTATCAGTGCTTAGATAGTTTAGTATATGTATATGAATCAGTCCCCAAAGCTATGGTAGCCAAAAAAGGGATATCACAGAATTAAATAACATAATTGAAGTCTTAGAGCCTTTTTAGGTATAAATTCCCAACAGATAGTTTAACATGTAGGATAGCCAGGGTTACTTGAACAGAGAAAGGCATCCTTAAGATTTATAATTTAAACATAACTTGGGAAATTCTGTATTAGTGTTTTTTTCATGAACACTATAGGCTGTTGTTATTTTGCAGGATGATTTATAGGGACCAGGAAAAGACCTATAACAGAAAGAAAAAAAAAAAACCTAATAATTCTTACAGTAATTTAGGCTTGAAGGGATGAGACTTTTTCTGACAGTAGAAAAGGGAAGGTCAGAATGGAGCCAGGAAATATTTTGATGGAAGGTTCAAGACTACTTATACTTAGTGACTTGTTGGAAGGAAGGAAAGAGGAATAAAAATAACCCCTGATAATAATACATCTGAGAATTTTGGGTATTATTAATTCAAGTATGCTAGTTAGAAAGTGCCATTATTGGACTGACAATTTAAGAGATTTGTTTTAAACATGTTGATTAGAAACTAGCGGATATGGAAGCCAACTACAGAAAAAGAAGAAAACCTAGGTCTAGAAAAGTAACTGAAGCTGTGAAAGCATATACCCTCAATGTTCATGTAGAGAGAAAAGAAACAAACAAGGAGAGTCAGCATAGTTGTGTCAAAAATTGTGAAGGACCATGAAATGATGAAATAACAGCTGACTAGTGATGAAGAAGGAGCAGTGTTTAACATTGGCCTGGTTGCTCTCCATGAGCATCAAGTGCTAAAAGGTTCCTGGTGGGTGTTTTTGTTTTATTTAATGGGGTGCAGAAAGGTTACTTGTTTCCCATCTCTCCTCCCCCCTCCTCCCACCTCCCTTGCTTCCCCTTTTGAGCCAAAGTCTCATTATGTATTCCAGGCTGGCTTTGAACTCAGTCTCTTGCTTTTGCCTCCAGAGTGCTGCAGTATAGATTCACTATGCCTGGATCCCATGTGCTTAAGTGACAGGAGTCACACTGATAAACTGTCACATGAGAGGACAGAATAAGGTAAAACTGTAAAGGGTTAAAGACCAGTTGGAAGCTAAAAAGCACTCATTGTAGAAATTTGGCAGGAAAGGAAAACAGAAAGAGTATAGGAGTTGATAGGGGAAACTGGAGCATGCTTGAAAGCAAGATGAGGAGCAGTCAGTTCAAAGGAAGGAATCAAAGAAAAAGCTGAAGCAAGTAGGCAGAAGTAAGAAAATTAGATTAGGTTGTCCTAATTTTGGAAAAATTGAAAAGACTGATTTCTTTAAATAAAAATAATCTATGTTTTTAGAAAATAGAAAAACCTGGATATGACTGACAAAATGACCATAATCCGTTCAGCAGTAACTTTAAAGTTTTGTTTTGATTGAACTCAGGGCCTCAAGCATGCTAGGCAAGCACTCTACCACTTAAGTTTGGTAGTTTTATGTTTTTAATTAAGTGTACTTCTAAACAGATTTGTAACATAATAATTAATAGAGTACATGTGGTATTTCAATGCATGTATATATTTTGTGTTGTTGAAATCAGGCTCCACATATCTATCTCCTCCAACACTTAATTATTTCCTTTCTGTGAAAATGTTCTAAATCCCTCCTGCTGGACTTTGAGATCACAGTACATGCATACACAATACACAGTTACCTTGCTATCTTGCTGTGCTTTAACATCCCAGAACTTCTTACTCATATCTATCTATAACTTAGAAGCCTGTTGACCAACCTAGGTTATCCTTTGTTCTCAACTTACTCATGATCAGCTGTGTTAGATTACACATAGGAGGTTATGAGTTGTCTTTTTGTTCCTGGTTTATTTCACTTACATAATCTCTATTTCCAGGCAGGTGTCACAAATTGTAGGATTTCATCCTCTGTATATTCTGTTGTTTATATATACATCACATTTTCTTTATCCATTCATTTATTAGTAAACAGATTATTTCCATTTCCTGACAATTGTGAATAGTGTTACAGTAAATACAGAAGTACGGTTATCTATGGCAACCTAAATTATTTCTTTTGGATAAATATCCAATAATGGAATTCCAGAATCATCTGATATTTTTTATTTTTTGAAGAATTTCTGTACTGTTTTCTATAGCTGCTATGTTAATATATATTCTCATCATTGGTGTGTGGGGATCTCTCTTTTGTTTGTAGACTTTTTAATTATTGTGTGTATGTATGATTTGAGGAGGGGTGTTGGTTGAGAACATATATGCCATGTGTGCATGTATGAGTCAGAGGACAACTTAGCCATGTCACCAGTCCAAGTGGTTCCTTTTCTGTATCTCCTTGCCAGCACTTGTTTTCTGTCCTTTCTGATACTAGGCATTCCTCATGGAATATGGTAATAATTCAGTTTGATTTGATTTGCCTTTCCCTGATGATTAGTGTTGTTAGCTAGCAACTTTTTTTTTATATACTCTCATTGACTATTTGTCTATCTTTGAGAAATGTCTATTTAGATTATGTTAGCTTACCACTGATGTGACAATACCAGAGAAAACTACTTGAAAAGATGAAAGGTTTATTTTTGCTCACTGTTTCAGAGGTTGTAGTTCATTTGATCCCATTGCTGTGGTCCTGTGGCTAGACAGGAAATTACAGTATGTAGAGCCTTGTAGAGCAAAGCTGCTTATTTCACTGTGGCCAATAAAAAAGAAGGCAGGGGGATCAGGGACTAAGAGATAAGAAGGGTGCTGCCAGTGGCCTACTTACCCCAGACTCCACACCAG